GATGTGGATGTTGTGCAAAGATGGCGAGTGGTCTATTTATGGAAAGATGTGGCTTCAGATTTTTCCTCTTTTTGCCTTGAGGTTCTATTTTTGTCTGAATAAGTTTCGAATTTATTTCAGTACTCTATAACTTGGTTATTTCATAACAAAACCTAAACATGTAAAAACTTATTCACTAATCTATATTTATGCAACGGCTCTGATTGTCTTTGATTTATAGTCTTTATATCTCTCGACCTTATTTTTTTTTTTTTACGATGATCGTCGATTGCCAAACAACTCGTAAGATTTAACGAATACTTTAAGTTATAAGATAGCTACTGCATATTTTGCTTTCATTAGTGCCGGTACCAAAAGTATTTTTTTTTCTATAAAGTTACTTTATCTATGAACAAAACAAGAAGGTCGTTACATATCCCAAGGTTAAATTTTACTGTGTGCAAATTAAACATTTTGAATAAATTACTTGACACTAGGCTTTGGTCTATACTAGGCGTGGGCACAAACCGAGTACTTGCTAATTTTTAAATACTTGTGATCCGGCTTGGCTTGTTCAAGTAACAAAAATTCCGGTTTGATACTTGACTCGTTCGAAGCAAGTACCTGCTCAATCAAGTACTCGTCCAAAATCATGTGACTTGCAAGTAACTTGACTCAGCTTGTTACTTGTCAAAATCATATACTTGCTACTTGAAAGTACTTGAAAATAAAAAGAATCTTCATACAAATTACAAAATATTCAAAGTTCTTACAAAAAATTCAAGTTCAAACATCCTAAAATCACAAAACATTAAAAATTCAAAAGATAATTTGCCCATAGTTTCATGTATTAGCAAGTAATTATTAACAATATCAAGGCAACTAATGTAAACAAGTATCAAGCCGAGTAACAAGTCAAGTAGTAAAAAAAATTTGTTGGCTTGATACTTGGCTCGGACTTACAAGTAATAGAATATGTTGACTTGTTACTCGACTTGAGCAGGACAAATACTTGTTTTTTCAAACCGAGTACGGACCGAATAACGAGTACAAACCGAGTAACGAATATTTGTGTCCATGCCTAGTCTATACGTCTTATCCTTGGTAGTTTCTACCAGAAATCAGTTAAATGTTTCCGCGAAACTCAGAGACCAAAACATATGTTTAGGCTTAATATTGTATATAGAACAAATTAATTACAACTTAACCATTATATTTGCCTCATATCCCTATTAGATATAACCAATCTATATATATAATAGCAAAGTTTTCTCTCCATCTAAGGTATCCACATAGGCAAAAGATTTTTTTACAATTAATTTTAGTTTTAACTTTCATTTAATTCATGTTTATGTATATTTATTGTTACTTATAGCTACTAAATTTTC